CTTTATTTATCAATTAAAATACGTTTCGGTGTATTTTTCCACCATCATCAGTTTTTACGTGTAGCGTTGTTGCTGCTTTAAGCCTTCGATAATTTTGGCATACATTTTCTGCCTGAAAATGTATGCCAAAATTATCGAATTACCGTTTATTAATACCTTTTTTGCCCTATGGCGTTGCTATGGATGAGTGAAATAATCATTATAATTTCCAATTGAAAAAAATAATTGCGACCAGCCTTTTCGCTTTAACAGTTATTGGATTTTAGAACAAAAATTGACGGTATTAAGCTGTCCCTGGAATTTTACATAAAATAAACAAATTTTTTACAACAAAATTTTATAAAAAATAAAAAAATAATAATTTTATACAGTAAAAAAACTTACTCTTTCAAACGAGACAACTCAAGAATCATTTAATATAAAATGTTGGAGGATGATTTATTGGCGTGGTTGTATTTGAAGAGACGACGATACATTTGTTTGCAAAAGAATAACTAGATAAATAATCAATAATCCATTTATCATCAATGGTAGCTGAATTGTTTTGAAACATGCCAAAAAACACACTAACCATAATGCAAAGTTTATATCACTATTTGAAATATCCTATCAGTCGAATTTTAATTAACAACTGCTTTCAATGAGTTATTTAGCTATTGAACGTTTCGCCAACGCCAACGTTTTCATTTTAATACGTAGAGTAAAGATATTCAAGTATGAAACATTGTATTAAAAAATTCCAAAGAAAAACAAAACGTAAATTTCAATCCAGTCTCAAACTTGCTATTCAAACATATTAGTCTAACATCAATTTTAGGATTTTAAAACCGACTTTAAATAACTATTTTGGACACTTTCTTGGCACGATTTTCTCCAACCATTGTGTGATTTAAAGTTTCTCAGTTACCGTTGTAGTTTAATTAATTCGCGACCCATGTTCGTTTCTACTCGCCACCAATAAGCCCTCTGAATAAGTTTCTGAAAGTTTCTTTAATCATAAAATTTAAAATACGTTTCTTCGTAAAAACGATGCCCGAATGGATGGAGAAAGACCGGTATATTAATTATAGACAATTACAAATGATATAAATGAATTTCACCCTGTTTTTCCGCCGGGGAGAGAATATCATCCCCATTTACGTGGCAGTGTTCTTTCACCCTATAAATCTGCTGGGAAATCGACAACGACGTTTCTGGCAACGCTTTAATAGATGGTTTTAGCACGTCACGACCGTTTTCACATTGTCGTTCAATGTTAGGAATTCGGAACCGCAAATGGAGCTCAAGATAAAGATGGGGGAGAGTACACAAGAATACTTAAGATGACAAAAAATTGATGATCCAGTCGCCCTTTTTCACCAAGTCATTAAATTTGCCCTGATAGGGATGACGTGATTGGAATATGTTACAGTTCTCAGAAATTTTTCAAATATTTATTCGAAACTGTATCCCATACAGTGCAAAAACTCGCAGCTATTCGTTCTCCACCCTCCTGCACCTTTATCCCTGCCCGCACCCCGGCTGTCCTTGTTTGCTGTCTCACAAAAGTTATTCCCCATTACGGGTGTTATTGTGAGCCCACGCGGGGCCATATTTCCCATTTCAGAGTTGTTTGACTTCGGCTTTAGATGAGGGACGACAGGCCGGAATTTTATACTTCCTATCCATCGCACATTAGCTGCTAGTGTTCGATACTAGCAAATCGACATTTTTATTCAACAGATCTTTTTCAAAGAATTATTAACTATAGAATTGATTGATATGCTCTATGTAACGAGTACAAATAAAGAAATCAAACTCGCAGGATATTTAAAATGTAAATTGCATCTGCTGAGTTTTAAAAATAACATTAGGTAAAACAAGAAACTTTTCATTGGCCAAATGGAAAATATTTCTATTGATAAATTTAGAAATTAAACACTACAATTTTAATTTGAGTGCATAACCAAGTTAATTTTCAAATTATTTTACCTCGTGCCTACTCCTTTCAGTTCGTCGGTGAAACTTATGAAATAAAAAAAAAATTATTGAATTTAATAGAGCGTGCTTAAAAACTCACCTAAAACTACAAACAAACAAAAACTTCAAATTATCCATGAAGAGTTAAAGTTTCACTTTTACCTACATTTAAATCGGAACTACTTTTGGGTTAGGTTAACAGTAACGGATCTACATCTATAAAAACATTTTATTAACAAGAAACGCATGAGAAAAACTGCAATAATGGGATATAGGACAACATACAAACGTATACGTACAGAGTGGCCCACATTATTAAAGATTTATCTTTTTTTAAATCGGTATTTCGGAATTTTTCGGAAAATAAAATAGCTTCAAGATGGCCATATTTTAAAATCATTTCAACAGTGCAATTCGAAAAATCGAAATACTTTATTTCAACAATTAATGCAAATAGAAGTAAAAGAAAAACTATATCGAAAAAAGGTTAATGCAGCTTATTGAGTGATAGAAGCTTTACAAACTTATTATTTAATGTAACCCCATAGAACAATCTCAACTTGTTTGAGCAGAAAATCGCGATTAATTTATATCCCACTGAAATTTAAAAAACGCACGAACATTGCGCTCAACTGACACTCATGGACAATAATGCATCTTTATTGATGTTGTAGGTGATATTTCAGACTAAAAACTTAGATATTAGTGTTTTAATGAGATAATAGTCATGAAAATTATAAAATGAAATATAGGGTCAATCGTATTATAAATAACAGTAACTAATGAATCAATTTTACATTTTCTAAAATCTTAGTCCAACCACTTTAGCCTTTCCGTCATAATTACCATCACTTTTTCCATAGAATTTATTAACGTTTTAGTGTTCATAAAGGCTCAAATAAGGTAGGTCACCCTGTATAACAAAAAACTAAAGGTCCAAGTTATCGCCAAAAATATTTTTCCTATATGGTTACATAGTATTTATTGTCTACTTACATGACCTAATTTATCATCTTTCCTTCGTTTCGCCTGCTCGACATCTGGCGATGATCTCGAACGATACTTATCTCTATCTCCAGGAGACATTGAATGCTGTAGAAAAAGAAAATTGTAAATTCTATGAATTACCCGATTTAAAAGTAACTATAACATTGAATGAAAACCATTATGGAATATATTCTCTATGAAATCAAAATTAAAGTTTATTCGTGGTTGAAAACTTATATACAAAGCTCAATAAGATTTCAATGCGCCTTTCGAAAACATAAGTATGCACTTTAAAACTCAAACGGCTCCAAAAATAATACTGTTTCCTGAGCTTCGGCCATTAAATTCGTATGGAAACAACTATTTTATTACATACTTCGGTTTTTTTGCTGCATTAAATAGATTCATTGAAACGGTGTGTATATAATTAGCGTTAGTTATCCAATCTAACATTGGTATACAATTTTATATAATAAATATTATCAGATTTAGAGCCGGTTGCACAAAGCTTTTTTAAGTTTAACCAGTGATAGATGTTACTTTCTGTTGTTTGGGTTGATCGGTCAATAGATAGTGGCAGAACAAAATGACGATTTTCTTTGGTCCAACGTTTCGGCTTAAATAAAGCAACATATCTCAATCACTAATTATCATCACGGTCACCAAGAAACTTCAACTTTAAGTTTAACTGGAGGAGTTGAAGGTAGGTTCAAGTATAAATTAAAGTTGTACCAAATTCCTTCAATCGAGTTAATACTCGTTTGGTTTGTCCAGCGCAAGATACACTAAGTTCAGTTCAAGTTTAAGTTGAGTTCAGTAGAACCCAAGCGTAAATTTCTACTGTACAACCGGATCTGGATACCTATAGCACGGAACTAGTTCAATTCCAGTTGACGTTAAACTTAAAAGATGTAAACTTCGGTTGTACGACCTTCTTTCAATGTTGAGGGATTTAATTTTTACAGCAGCAACGTCGCTTGCAGGTTCAGGTCGAGTTCAGTTAAACGTAAGCTTAAACATTGTAAAACCTGGCTTCATGGTATTTTTGATTTTCGATGATGGAGCTAAAACCGACCACGTTTATTCATAATCACTTCAAATCCTCGTGAAGTGTACATTGTCAGTTTTTTAGTTTTTCGATTCGTTTTCAAGATACCATAAACTATGTTATTTTTTAAATAGGGTCCTGTTTGTTAGTTATCCATTTCTAAAATCTGATTTTCTTCGAAATGCAACAATACATATCATGTTAATATTTACTTTTTTTCCTGATAGTCATTTCATGATGTCAAGACCCGACTGCTCTGACGTCACGAGCACACCGCCTCGCTGTGAGAGTGAGTGAGAGCCGGTCTACTCTATTTCTGTAGTATCTTACAGGCTCGGCTTACTCATGACGCCACAACAGTTGGGCCTTGACTTGCGGTGGTGCCGGTTCTGGTAGTATGTAGCACAATAGAAGAAGTAATTTTGCTCATACACTTACAAAGGTTTAGAACATTAACAATTTACAAAAATTCTAATAATCTCTAATGGAATTCTGATGTTCCTACACCAGAGCCAAGAAAATATTGTCGTCTTGGGATATCTATATTATCGACGATTGATCACCTTTTTGCTCCCCTTAACTATATGTAGAAGTATATAATCAAACATATAGGACGAACATCAAAGACGCTACAGCCTTATGACGCTTGACTGCTGTTATCTACAGACATTTGTTTCTTATTTCGTAAAGTATTAACACACTTTATTTCACGCAATCATTTTCGGACAATAATACTCTTATACTCAAATGTCTTCTACTGAACTTGAACCTAGAAGCTTGATCTTATGGTCCAGAATCGTCCTGTACATCAATATTTTTTCTATGCTGTTTAATATTTAGTCTTGCTACATTTATCTACTTTCAAGTCAAGGCTTATATGTTCATTAAGTACATTTTCGGTTTTTTTCTAGCTTTAAAGACTAGTTTACTTAATGCTGACTGAGCATACTAATTTGTAATTGTAATCGAAGCACATCTAATATCAATGATATGACTGAAACCCGAAAAAATAACAAAAATGTAACTAAGGACCACTGTTTGCTTGTTTCTCACAAGTAATTAAAATTGGTATAAAGTTATCTGAAGCTACAATGTCCATGCCTTACCAGTCTTTCGTCTGATGTATTTCTGCTGTTGGGTCGTTTGACCTCATCCCCGGCGCGTGAATGCAAATCCGCAGCTTTTGCTATAGAATGTGCAGCACTAGCAACAGCAGCTGGATGAGGAGGACCACCTGGAGGCAATCCGGCACCAAATCCCAATAATCCTGCAGCACCTGCTCCCATTCCAGGTAAACCAGGATGGGGACCAAGTGACAGTCCGCCTGGAGCGCCACCATGAGGCAATTGTTGTGCATGGATTTGTTGCTATTATCGGAAAACTCTATTAAAGCTTTTTGCAATTTATTTATTTACACTAATCTAATGTGCGTGAGAGCATGACAATAATGTTGAAAAAATGTATGAAATAATAGGGACTTAGTTGTATTATGGAGTATTAAAAACAGTTCTGGCGGTGATAGAAATCAAAGGCAACTGTTAATTGAAATGGGAAGCACATACATATGACAAAGTTTTATTTTTGAATACCTGCGGTCCAATATTAGCGATTCCATGCAATGATGTTACAAAACCATTTATGTACCCAAATAATAATTTTTGATTGATTGTTTGAATTTGTTATCTTTATTGCAAGAGCGCATTGCTTTATTGATCAGAGGGAAAAGACTGAGAATTTAAAAAATACTTGCATTATTTGTGTGAAACAGTATTTGACCATTTGCAAACATCTATTTTTGTCAACTGCTGTGATCGCAATGCAAAAGCTAATTTGGATTAATATATAACAAATATTTCCGAAAATTCCTGCAATCAATTTTTCCAGCATATAAACGAGCAGGTAAGTATTTCTTTATTAAATTTAGAAAATGTTTTTTAGGTATCTCAGCTGGGCAATTAATATTCATTACCGAAAACAGTCCATTAGCATTCTCCGAAGCTGATGCAGGCATCGGAAAAAGGATTATAATTTATTTTAAAATTTGCAGAAATAACATAACTCTTTTAAAACGTTCTCCATCTCTGCTGTAATCAATATTTTCAAATTGAATTAGCTTTGCGCATAACTCATTAAATAAAAACATCGATTTACATAAGCTTTCCTTATATTGCAAAGTAGTTGGTAATATTGCCACTTTTAAGGTTGGCTTTAATGCGACGGTTTTCATAAGAGCGAATTGTTTTAACTGCATCTTGTGACTTGAGTTGTCTTCACAGCCATTACTTAATTTTTCGTTGGTCTGATCGATGTTGTGATGGAAAAACAATGCTTTAGATCTTTCATGCAAATTCTTGCATTATGATCGCTTACTGAATTGGTCTTTACTTCTTGATCATTATTATTATATTGCTAGCTGCTGGTAGATGTTTTCTGAGTAAAATTTTACATAATTTGAAAGACGCTTTCAAAGTAAATATTTGCATACTAAATAATCAATAATGCCGCAATCTTGTTGCATCTTAAAAACTGTTACAGAAAAAATAAAATGTTACTGTTACAAAATCAGCCTAATACGAACCATCTTTATGACAATTTCGTCAAGCACACACTGTTTTCTACGACATATTAAACACGTACTAATTTGTAAAAACATGCAAAATTAACTAAGTGATTACTTACTAGCAAATGCTGAAGACCCTGTTGTTGCTGTTGCTGGAACACCAACAAGTACAATTAAATTAATCCAAACCAACTCACTTTCTTCCACACCTATACATAATCATGCAGACGCATAAGATAACTTATTATTAAATGTCTCTCATATGTTGTGTTTTAAAGTGCATAAGTGAGTAAATACTAACGTTTTAAATTGAAAAGACATTAAGTTTTACTTTTTAATTAGGTGATTTTACAGGTTTTGTTTAAAAAATTACACTAATATTTACAAAAAATATAAAATCTATTAGTAATTGTTTCTAAATATGGAAAATATTTGCAAAAAGCGAAGTGCTAAATAATCAACAACTAAAGGTCTTACAAATGCTATGAACAAATTTAGATTGATGAGGTTAAATCCAGATTTATTCCAAACACTAATTAAATTTAAACGTTTAAACTTGGCATGTTTTCAGCAGCATTTAACGTCAATAAAAATGAAACTAGCACTCAAACGCTATCAAATCCCGTAATCAAAAATATTTGGCTACCAAAAAATCGTTAACACCCACACCGTTCATGCAATGACTGTTTACAGTTTTTGCATTGAACCGTTACACACGGATTTATTAAAATTCAGGAGTTAATATGCAGATTGCGGAATATCTACAAAAAAATGTCATTAATAACGTTTTTTTAGTCATAAAACAGTTTTATCTTTTCATGGCACTAGACTATTATGTATGTTATGTTGTTTCATTTACGACTTTAATCTTTTCTAATCTGACAATGAGCAGTTCTAGTCTAAATATAAAATTCAGTATAACTTGCCGGTTTTTTTTCTCTCTGTTTGAAACAATTGAAAACACAGCAACTTAAAATGACTCATTCAAAATAAATACCGACTGTGTTATAAGCTAATGTAAGAAAACCATAGATTACGCAACGCACAATGCGATTATCGCCTTGCAGAAACTACTATAGAGATATGCGTTCAAATTTTCCATGAAATGTTAATAGTCTATTTGTAAATGGGTACCGGGAAAATATTAATAAAATTGGGCCCGTAAACTATGTTTTACTGTTTTCAATATTCCAGTAAATCAGTCATTTGATTATAAATGAAATAACATACGAACAAAATTGTAAAGGCATGGGCGTTAATTAAAAATATTAAACAAAACTGGCCTTTTTTAGTATAACGGTCTATCATTAAAGCATTAGTATTTTTTTTGATATGCATATAGTCATTATCTAGAAATATACACAAAGAGTCCTAATATACAGAGTGATTTAAAATTGGAGCAATGTCTCTGGTGGTATTGTCTGGGGGTGTTTTAGGAGTACAGGAAAAATAGTTTAAAAAATTAATTGTTATTAAAAAACTAAGAAATTTGCAAAAAACTACATCAGAAAGACGTCAACAATGCTTTTCAAGGTAATCTTCCTAATGAAATTGCGTAAATACCGGTTGCTTCGTAATTATTAAAAACTCCGGTAACCATGGAAAAATACAGAGTGGCAATAAAATAGATAAAGAGAAACGGTAAATTCCACAGGATTCGTTAAATGTAGGATCGACTTTATCGAAATGTCAATACTGTCAACGAGAAATTATTCTTTATAGTCATCATAACCTCGAGTTGATGTATTTACAAATAAACATACATTTCTGTCTTTAACTCCAAACAAGTTAGTGCCTGTGTAATCAATCCCCTGATTGTGCAATCTTCTGGAGCTTGTTATTTTTGACAAATGTTATCTACATGTAACTATGTGTTAATTACAGAAAACATTATTGCCCCTTGGACCTTTAATCAAAAAATGGTAAGAGAACTTTTCAATATAAAAGAAATTCGTAATTTGAAGCAAAGATCGTAATTTTTGAATGCTTAAGTATTCCAATAGGCTATCAATCAATAATGGGACCATTACAAAATAATGGTTAATAGTAAAGTTGAACATCGATTTTCAACTATTAATACCTTCTAGAAAATTTCAAAGATTTTTTTAAATATTTTTTACGTACCCTCCAAGTGAGCCCCTATTGTCCCTTTAAAGGAATGACGCAAATCTTGAATCACCCTATATACAGGGTGTCCGCTGAGGCAGTCGATAGAATTCGTACTTTATGCGTAAAATTATTTTAAGTAAGAACCGACTCGGACGAAAAATGGGTTTTTCAAATGGCATGAGGGCTTACGATTGGCCACACCCTCAGATTAAACAGATGCATTTGTTTACGTCTTTCGATGGGAGCAACATTGGTTCACAGTCTATATAAAAGTAGGTACTTACGAGAGCTGCTTTGCCGGCTCGGTATTCAATTTGATAAACAGGGTGATTCAAAATTGGTGTCATTTATTTTAAGGGGCAATAGGGGCTCACTTGGAGAGTACAAAAAAATATAAAGTATTTATTTGAGAAATTTCTAGAAGATATCAACAGTATATGAGTGGCATCAACAAGAAAACAACAGCAAAACGGTAGCCATGAATATATTTAGTGTTATATTTGCTATTGAATTAACACTTTCCCTAATAGATTGCTTCTGATACAAAAATTTCTGACAAAAAGTTGATTTTAAAGTAAAGTTCTAATTTACATCTCAGAGTTACGGGTTTACTCGACGAGTTTAATTTAATGTCAAATCTACTTTAAGTGTTAGTACAGTTAACTGTCCTACTTGAATAAAATTATATATTTAAGCATCAACTATCCTTAATTCTTAATTAATGATAAAGCGGTCTCCCACGATTTGGAAAATAATTAAAAGTTCACCGTCACCTTCCATTAATTGGGCAAATAGCACTTAACTGAATCGAGAGTGAAGTGTTTATGTTTAATATATGTATTAATATATTTTTGATAAAAATTACTAACATTTGCTTAAAAGTGGCTAAAATTAGCCGTGGCTAATGCAAACATATTGTAATTATCAAGTATATTTTAGGTACCTACTTATAGTATCAAGAGCGAAATCGCAAATACTCATTACTAGACTAGTAACTCTTGAATTGAGATCACAATCCAAGTGGAATCAGGCATAAATCAGACACAATATACCTGTTGTTGCAATTACCGGAATTTGATAGATACAATTATCGGCCCCTTGAACGAAAAATCAAGCTAATGTCACATAAAAAACCAACCTGCATACTAACTACACAATCTAACTAATCTAATATAACAATTCTAATATTTAAAGAGCATAGAAAAAAATTAAACACTTACGCTTACCCCAATGACAGCATTTAGTTCGGACATGGTTACTTGTTTAGCTCTTTCTACAGCAGTTGCAACTTGCTGCTGGTGCTCTTGTGACAGGAAAGGCATCAGTTGTGCTATGATTGCATTAAGTCGTTTTGCTATTTCAGTCTAAGAAAAAAAAACGTTTTGATAATAGAGATGACAGGTTAGGTAGAATGCAAGAAACATTCGAAAATATAATATAAAATAACTGATTTCAAATTCACTGAAAACTCTACAGTGATTTGCATATTCACTAGAGAACGGTCAGTACTTATTGACCAATCATTAAAATTGTATTCGAGTGCGTGGAAAGAAAAAGCTTAGTATTTTAAACACCTTTCATATACAAATAAACTGCTGATTTAAAATTGATGTCATTCCTTTTATAGAGGCTTACCTAAATGAACATGGGAGTAAAATACAAAGAAAGTTTTTCTCCCAGACATAGGCACATATTATAAGTGTAAAAGCCGCTGATACCCACTAAACCCCAAGACCCATAACCACTAAACCCCAAGACGAGAGAGATTCGTTATACGACGAGCTCCAAAACAAACGGTACAAGATACCGAAAGGAAAGGAAGTTATGATTTTGGGAGCTCTTAATGCAAAAGTTGGTGACAAAATTCTGGAAGGTATATATATATATATATATATATTCTGGAAGGAAGCTTTCCAACAACATACCACTCTCAACGGGAACCAGGCAAGGACATAGTCTCAGCCCAATACTATTTAGGATGAGGACAATCTGCAGAAACTACTTAATATATTCGTAAGAGATGCAAAGGAATTAAACATCGTGATCTCTGTCCAGAAAACGAAGTCGCTGACAATATCAAGAGAACCGAAAAGGTGTAAGTTAGCGATCTACAATAAAAGTGTAAAACTAAACTAAACAACCGAAATGAAGACGCTAAGATCAATTACGGGCGAAACGCTTAGAGATAGAGTGAGAGGCAACGATATCAGAGCCCAATGTGACATTCCAGACATAGGAGTCACAACTTAGGCTACAGGTTTGAAAAAAAAACCGAGACACTGTCTTAAAATAAGAAGAAGAATTACGTTTCCATATTCATATTAATTTACATAAGGCAAGGAAAGCGAAATCGTGTGTTTAAAGGACATAAACAGGTCGAGATGCATGGATATATCACATAAAACATCGGTTTTTGACTGGCATAGGAATAGTTCTGTGATAAATTATAGATACACATTCATATAACGAGTGTACGCTTTATAATGCATCCTTTGCTTTTAAAACTCAATTAAAGAAATTAGACTTTGGAAACATGGAAATCCTTTAAACGCATGAGGAATTATATCATTATAGTCGCAGATGTGCAAATCAGATCATTGATGCTTCAATTACAGTTTCCATTTTCCCAAATCCTCACTTTTCAGAGAAAATATTTTCTTCAACTAATTTTTCTCTAGTTTCAAGCACTGCTGTACATCACCATCATAGGAATGACGGCAATTCTAAATATTACTATAGTATACAATTTGAAACGACAACCCTTCCAGTCAATACAATCAATTTTAGATATTTTTTTCTTAATTTGTTATGCTCCGAAAGTGCATAGTTCCGATATACAGAGGGTTACAAAACGAGTAAATAAAGTACGCTAGGTTGCAATTAAATAGAATAAAACTTTAGGACTGACATTATTTTCTGAAGCAATAATTTTTCAGTTGTTTAAAGAAATTCGATTGCGCCATACAATAGATAGGTTCATCAACACGGCGTACAAAAAAAATTAATAAAAAAGTTTTTCTGTTCGCTGTTCTTTTTCAAATTGAACCGAAAATCAAAGTAAAATATTTTAATTAGTCGCGTGTCTGTCCAGTTACAAGCCTGTGCTCACGCCATTAATAAAACCGATTTTATAACATATTTCTGTTGATATATGTGTTAATGTTAGCTCTCAAAATCGGCCAAATTTCATTAAACTATTCCAGACGGTCTCGCAATTTTAATGAATTTGATTTATTTAATGACAATTTTAACACCTTGCAGATCTAATCGAAACTAAATGTTCGTGGAATGTTATATTAAGAAAATTTAATCCACTGATAGTTCGTAACACTCTGTATAGTTCGCTTAAATCTGTTAATTAGCTAGTGGTAATAGTAAATATTTTTAAGTCGCTTACCTGTTTGTGCATTTCCACGTTAAGGCCATATGACATTTCATAGTACTGTAAAAAAAAGCTTTATATAAAAAATGAAATGTCTTCTCTAAAAGATTACTACGTACAAATTACTTGAACGGCGATACTTAAAAACAAAGGGTCATTTCCGTTTCGATATGATTTAAGTGGCTGTTATTTACTTTTTATCGCAAAAGTAGATACTACAATGACCAGATTTATTCGAGTACCTGATTCCGATAAATAAATTGCAAATATTTTTCCGAATCCAAAATCGGAAAATCCTAATTTCCAATAATGTACAGTGTTGAATTGTTATCAAGTTGAACTTGCATTGAGTTATCAGGTTAGACGAAACATTACGCCACACAATAATATTAGTGCCTTTTTATTATTATTACATGTTATAAAAGAGATTTAATGACAAATATAAATAATTTTATATACTTTTGAGAATAAAAAAGCACTTAATTCCAAAAATCAAATTACATATTGTCGTTGGGTTTATGACAATTGACTGGTTAATGGCGTCCATTAAAAAGTAACGGATTCATACCTAGAAGAACCTGTTCAGAGCCAAGAACTCGTAACTCAGGAATATGCGAAAATGTTGTTAGGAAAAATATTTGAGCCCATAAACAAAACGGAATAATATAATACAACTTGCAACTTTTCTTTATAGGCCTGTTGGTGTTAGTTTTAACTGCCGAATAGACACTAGAATTTTTGCGTGAAGTTTTTGGCTTTGTAAATCGGCATCTTTAGAGTCTAGATGAACATTTCCTGACCTAAAACACGGGGGTTTATGTTTGCAGAGAAAGTTGCAATTCCGAAGATATATTATACAACTCAGATGTATCACATCTTTAGTTTACATAAGAAATAATTGAATTAAATAGGATATTTGCCAGTTGGGTTAGCACTGTTCTGAATTTCTTCGTTTCATCTACCGCTATAAGCTAATGGGTGGTTGCACATATTAGAAAAATTACTGAGTTATTTCTCAGTGTTTTATACCGTGTCTCCTCTTTGAACATGCTGTAATTAACTACATCAAAATTGTTGCTTCCTTCGTGTTATCAAGATTAACCATGTTGTACAAATTACTTACAAAATTATTGTGTACATCAATATATTTTGTTGTTATAAGCGAGTAAGTAAAAATAAATGAGTTTCATTGTGTGTCTTCATTGTTAAAGAAAAGCACTCTTGTGGTCAAGAGCCATTTGTTTCATTTTCAGGCTTATTAAAGATATTCTTTGAGAGCCGCAGTGGATTCAATTGCGGTCACTATTCAAATATCAAAGGTACTTCGAACAACTGCTTGGAGATTGTATAATTTCGCTTATTACAATGGCTATTTGAATATAATTGACTGGGAGAGACTGTTTCTTTGAAACTGTATAAGATGATCAAAATCATATTTTATACTATATTTTGAGAATTAATGTATCTACTTCAATGAGATTACGAATTACGAATGTGACATATAAACTATAATAAATGCAATTTTGTTGCAAGTCATCGAAGAAACGCTTCAAACATCTGCCAGCAGCTCCCATCTTTTAAAATGGCTAGAGATAATGTAGGTAATGGAAAAATAGTAGAAAACCGGTGCAGTGAAAATCGCGTTTAAGTAAAATCTTTTGTCCCATACAAAAGTCGGGAATAATCAAAATAAATCTGAATCCGTCCACCCAAATTACATGAAATCTTGTGCACTTACGTACCAAATTACGCCCGACCTCACATGAATATCGCATCGCTATTAATTGTTGCCTTTTTCAGACATTAGCAGGATTTTTTATTCCAATATAACTTTACATTTTAAGCAATTTAAATATTTTAAACTTGGATTAAAGAAAATTATTCCTATGGATAAATTACATCGTTGGTATATAACTTTAAACTTTATCCTTGTGAGTAATTGCCAATGAAGTTGTGTAATCAAGAACAAGAAAATATTACAGAAATGCAATACTATTGTTTAATGAATAAATATATTGTAACTCTTTAGGGCGGCTACTCTACAGACATAATATGTTCTGGGTAACCCATTTTCTTTATTACTGGCTAACATGAAAAATACATTATAATGTGCACTTCTGGAGAGCCAAATCAATTTACCGCGGAAAAGTCTCTGACCTTAATCCTGCCCTTAAAACAAACAAATGTGACCGAGCCTCTTTCTGTATCTCAGTTCCTTATAGCCACAATTTTCTCCTTACTTACATTTGAAAGCATTGAACTTACAAAATAATTGTTACAAAATAACGTTCGAATAGAGATATTATTTGAAGTTTAAGTAATTCAAATTTTGAAGCAATTTAAATGGACCACAAATACTAGACATAATACCACATTAAGAATTTGGTTTCAATTCCATTGAAAAATAGAATTAAAAGCATGTCGTAAAATTGTTTCAGTTTTATTATAATAAAAATTGCAGGACCGCTAACAAATCTGTAGCTTATTGGTTGTAAGTATAATAATTTTACAAAATAATTTCTGCCTACGTGATTCGACTGAAATTGTATTAGACAAAACATAAACCTTATCACCGATCACACTATTGAGAAATTAAATTGTCTTGGCATATTTTAATTTTAAAAGTATTGTCAAGCACAGTCCTTAAATTAGGAAGGAAAATAACTTAAATCCTCAAATATTTGTCAATAAATTAAAAGAAAAAATATCAAAGCAATGCCTGTCAATTTTAAGTTAAATCATTTTCAACGCAAATACCTTAAAACCTCCGAGCTAAATGAATTAAATCTGCGAAATCAAAGTTAACATAATGCAAATTGGATCTAATTTGTTGAAGAAACTTAGTAATCAACTCCATGCACAGAATGGGAACGACTCAGCATTAAAATTGGACTTCTGATACTAAAGATTTTAACTTTAGAAAATTTTCAGTGAAATTCAACTTAAAACCTATGCTTATTTTATTTGCATTTCGGTTTGTTTGTCCTGCTCTCAAATGATAATTTTAAGGGGAAACCGTACTATTTTTAACGATAGACCATAAACGATTTGAGAAACTTTGCTGTTCATAAGTCCTAATTTTACAAAGATTTTGGAGATTGAGATATTATGTAAGCATTTCTCGCATCGAATTTCTCCTTATAATTCCCTAATGGCGCGATATAAAACCCTGCCTCTGCAAGTCTGCAACGTATGCCGATACACCGACATGAAGCTCTATTTTCAGATGAACCAGTAAAGCACTTCAAAGTTAGTTTGACTCTGTTCAATCGACTAAGTAAAATAAACTGTTTCACTAACAGCTAATAATAATTTAGATTTTAGTGCAAACATGATGAGGATTGAGCTTATTGATCAAACGGCCTGGGGTATTTACTTAGGTTATTGCTGAAAGCCAAAAATATACTAACACAAACATGATTACGCATAATTATTTAGTTTTAGTTTTATTACACTACAACTGTTTGTAAAACACCAAAATATTTATCTGCTGTAACACATAAATATATTGACGATGACAGAAAATGTTTAAAGGGTGTTTGAAAAGAAGTTTAAAATCAAACACAAGAACTGTACTGGATAACCTCCCTTAAGGGAACATAATGTTTAGTCAGGGGTTTATTATTTGGTCATTGTGCTTAAGTTCGTAATGTGGGAGCGGTAACGAGGGGTGACTGTATCGTGGAGGGTTTAATAAGTATTGCTTTTCCCTATCCCCTTCAATATCCGATATAATTGCTTTTCAACTGAACGCGAACACGATAGCGTCTTTCTGATTGAGGTTTACTTTGTGTCCGTTGTACTCGATTTTTAAAAGGGGAGTTTTGATGATTCAACGTTAGAAATTAATATATGAATGTAGACGTCAATTTGTAAATTATCCAATTTATAACAATAATAATCATCATCTTTATTTATTTCCAAAAAGGCGATTGAAATCGGTCTTTAGTTTAGCGAAAACTTTAGTATCTTATATCGTACTTATCAGAGTTCCCTATCTTGTGACTAGCAATCATACCAACGTGTTTTACTCACAGGATTTTGTCGCTCCGCTAAACATCCTTATCTCACGGATTGCAATAATCAGTGTTTTGTAATTTGATTGAATCCTTAGTGATTAGCTATATAGAAAAGCTACACCCATAAAGCCGTGAAAATGTATTTTAATCAAAAGTACCCTTTCAGAAATACACCGGACCGAGTTTACCTAATCAGCTCTCGATCGTTAAGCATATATACAACAAAGCATGATATTCTGCTTCAAATCACATAGCTCATTATGCTGATGTGCCAGAGGACACATTTCAATTGTGGCACAAAGTCATATACCCCGAAGTTATTTAGTAAAACTAATACCCGTTCACTGAATGTATAAATACTCAACTGAAAACGTTACCACGCTGGCAACAAAGTACAAAGACGAGCTAATATTGTTTTCATGTAACAATCTAATACTCGAATATTGTACCCGTGTCACGTCCGTTTTGCACCCGTTGGGGAATTAACCCTCTTTGGCATCCGACGGGTGTCATCTCCATCAGCCGATTATCCTCGGCGCAAATCTATACCCTATGTAATAAACAATAGCAGGATTGTATCCAACTTTTTTTAATTTCAATATATATGGTCTTGAATTGACTTGATATGGACTCGATGTTTAATGGCAAATTAAGTAAAATAAAACTTTTCTGATATCAAGCTTGTCCATTGTCGCACGTTCTTCAACCATGAATTTCGTACCTTTCTAGGTGTTATTACCGTATATTTTTCCTTTAATTATGTAATTTACTTTTCGTGATTATGGGCCCCGAATAAACAGATTTTCCTCGTTTAGTAATACACATATGGAATTAACTGCTGTGGATATTCCATCGGTTTTAGAAGCCTTCTGATAGTAATGAAAGTTCTGGATGTAAATTTCGTATTCATTCAATATGCTACAATCTATATAGTAATGTTTAAACGACTGTACAGCCCTCCATATTATTTTCTCAATATTCCTTCTACTGCAACTGTTGATTTCAATTAGAAACGAGTGTTTATATGCTACTATTGTTCCT